AAGAATTTCCTGAGGATGAGGAACAAGCAGCAACCTCTCCTTGGCCCATTTCACCACCCCCAGCCTTCTGGAGGAATCACTTTGCATGTTAATTTACACCTACTCCTTTAGCAGCAAAATACCAACACATTTCTGTGCAACCTCAGGAATGGGATTTTTCTTCGGGAGAAACCTCCCTGAAGGCTGGGGCTTAACCCTTTACACACCAATCCTAATTACAGCTCACATTTATTGCACTCTCATGCTGAGCCTGGCAAGGCTCTAAAAGCCTCAATCCTTAATATAACCTACAAGAGGGGGACTGTAAGTTTCCCCATTTTTCAAATGAGGAAACGGAGGCACCAAGTTGCATGTGTGTGTACAACATAGACCTCCTGAAATGAGAAGGGCTGCTTGACCCTTGGCTAATCATCCCAGACGGCGGTGGTTACTGAGTTCTTGCCTCTCTTACGTGAGTGTTCTGTCCTGTCCTCACTGCCAAGCCCTCGGCTATCACTCCTTGCTAGTGCCAGGAGTCCACCTCTGCCGCCAAATTCACACTTCCTATCTGCAGACAGCTGTAAAGTGATAACCAGACTGGGCCGAAATGAGTGCACAGGCTATGACACACTCCTGTGGCCCACCACACTCCTGCCGTTCCAAGGCCACTAAAGTAAATGGGCTCTGGGGCAGCAGCTTCTTCAGTTCAGTTGAAAAGATCGTTGTGAGTATCTACTTTATACCAGGCACTGCTCGGGGTACAGGAGGCACAAAAATACATGCATCCCAGGCCCTCAGGGAGATGTGGTCTCCTGGGCGGCCTGGGTCTCCCTGCGGTCATTCCAGGGTCCAGCAGTTTTGGAGGTGCTTGCTATTCCAAGTGATCGTGAGAGCTGGTTAGAAATGCAAATCTCTCAGAACCCCTCCCTGAGCTACCAAATCAGAACCTGCATTTCAGGGGATCCCCAAGGGAGGATTTGTATGCACGTGCTGGTCTAGACAGTTTAAAGATACCCACGGTGTGACTTTAGGATACGAAATGCACTATTACGTTATGCCAAGTACTTAACTCTTAAGTTGCACGCTCGCTGAGATGCATATTCCTTCTCTCTATCCTTGCTGCCTGCCCCTACTGCCACTTCTGCCCAACCCATATGGCCTTGCCTACCTATATGCTATTTAGACAGCAGTGAAGAAGTAACAGTCATAATGAGCAGGCACACTACAAAATACACCCAATGTACACAACTACAATGGAAATGTTTCCTGCGTTGTGTGCTACATTTCTAGAAAAAATACGCTGCAGTTAATTAGTCTTGTCCCCAGGTTTAACTTTTTATTTTACACAGCTTGCATCGTTAGGTGCAGACCCTTCGTTAGGTCTAGACCTGGCAGGGATATGGCCCTCAGGCCTCACTACAGAACTGTGAAGGAGCCCATACCAGTACCCGCATGCATAGTAAAGTGTGCCATGCAGTTCTGTTCCTTCAAGGAAGTCTAGCAACAAGGGCAATTCCAGGAAAAGGGAAGAGAACTCAGATGTCTGAGCCACTGTTCATTTGGATTGGGGGCAGTACTGCTTGCTCCCACAAAGCATCCATGTCGAGAAACCCATGTTCTCCCTCTCTCTCTGCTTTCAAGTGCCCCCCAGGGCAGAATGGTGCTTTCTTCCTTCACATAGCAGGACGATTTGCTGGAAAGAGACCCTTGCTGGGATCTCTGTGGGTCAAGGCCAGCAGCCCCTAGTAGGCTTCAACTCTTCCAGCAACTCAAAGGCTATGCAGGGTGACTCAGCAAGAACTCCCTTGCTGATGCTCCACACAGGACCGCTCACAGGCAGCAGGAGCTGCAGGAAAATGATTTGGATTTGTGTGGAGAGCTTTCTTCTGCCCTGAGCACTGCCCTACTCAAAATCTCCCAAGAAACATGAGACAGCAGTGCCCTCACCTTGACTCACCAGACCACACAGTCTTTGGGTAATTAGGCCTGAATCCCAGCACAAATTAGATCTGATAATTTTCTAAAATTCTAATTGTATCAAGCTCTGAGACCGGCAAGACAGACATTCTTCCCAGTTCAATAAAATTATTCAAGGAATTAATGAATGCTCTTGCTTAATTTCTCCCGTGATTGCCCTCTGGAAAGAAAGCAATCTGAAAAAGAAATGTCTTCCAACAAAAGTTAAAAAAACAAAAACAAAAAAACTAACTGCTAAATATGAGAGGTGATAGATTTATGGGGGAAGTGGAGTACACTTGCAATGACAAAGTCATCCCTTATTTCAAACATTAACATATATAATAGCATAAGATCAAGTTCACGAGATTTCTTCTCAAATCCAACAATGGTGATGGTAATATTTGTAAGTTCTTTTTTGTTTGTTTTTTGAGACAGAGTCTCGCTGTATTGCCCAGGCTGGAGCGCAGTGCCATGATCTAGTCTCACTGCAACCTCCACCTCCTGGGCTCAAGCGATTCTCCTGCCTCAGCCTCCTGAGTAGCTGGGATTACAGCATGTGCCACCATGCCCAGCTAACTTTTTGTATTTTTGGTAGAGGTGAGGTTTCACTATGTTGGCCAGGCTGGTCTTGAACTCCTGACCTCAGGTGATCTGCCCACCTCAGCCTCCCAAAGTGCTGGGATTATAGGTGAGCCACAGCACCTGGCCAATATTTGAAACTTCTATATGAATTTTTAAGAATATTGTAAATTAAGTACTCTGAATTATCACAACTAATTTATTTTTGTTGAGAACCATAATAAATAAAAGAAACTTACAAAGACCAAGGACAGACCTTTGCACATTGTTTCAATAAATGAGGCAATTTATCTTGTTCTAGTTCTGTTATGTCACTATGCACTTGTTAGGTGGAGTCAATTCCCTTGATTTACAATTGTTTTATGAATTATATACACAGACTTGTTACTTAAAGAACATTTATTTTCTAAGAAAAAAATGAAAAACATTCAAGCATTTCTTAAGCAAAAATCCATCCAACCTTTTCAAGAAGAACTATTTAATGGTGTGGCTGCTATTGTTAATATCATATTTTCAATATCGTTCAATTTAACCCATAAGATGTAGTAAAAAATAATAATAACATTTCTATGAGTATCTCTTCTCACTCTTCTTCCCCAAAATCCTTAACTTTTTCAGATAGGTTCTTCGTCACATCACATTGAAGAAAATAAACTCAAAGAAAATGAGAGCACTGAAACTAACAAATATATGGCCAATTCCAAAAATTCACATACAATCTGACCAGGCCACCTTTGAGACACCAGCGTGTCAGGTCAGCTAAGGACAGATACCCCTGTTTGCATAGGCAAACAACACTGGGGAATTCACACATGTCTGCCCTGAAAACCTGCTCACCTACTTGGGCATCATCGCAGAAAATAATGTCCCCTTCAGTCAGAAACTCTCAAATGACCACAAAAAAGGAAGCCTCAACTCCCCAACTTCCTTTGCCCAAACTGGTCTGGAGGGAGAACTGACCACCATTCCGTAGTGTCAGCAGTGAATATAAAACTCAGGACACTGTGGTGGAGTTGCAGGTGAGGTGTGGCTCATATGTCCAAACCTAGTGTGTTTTGCAAACTCCTAGTTGCTATCAGGAATTTTCTTGTAATGAAATAGAAAAGAATAAAAATTATCTCAGTGTACCACAGATAGTAAAAATGAGTATTGTTTCATAAAAATTTTCATTTTAATCTATTTATCAATATGTGTACCTCTGTGTATGTGCTTGATCACAATGTAAATTTAGTTCTTATTGTAGGTTGTGGTCAAAGAAGTTTAAAAGCTGCCATCCTCAGGAACATGCGGTGAGTACCAGTGCGTGTGGGTAACCAGCAGCCCCATCCCAAGTAACCCAGAGAAACGCTTTTCTAGCACCACACTTCCAGAACCCTGTGCTAGGCTGGCAGTACAGAAGAGGCAGCCAACAGGGCTCTCAATCCCAAGTGCCTGAAGGAGGAATAAAACAATCTCACCAGAGAGGGAAGGACAGCTGTGACAGTCCTTGCAGGGAGTTCAGACTCCCTAAACAAGACCACTGAGACCAGGGATGGACATCTTCCAAGCTAACCTACAGTACAGGTAAGAATGGAAAGCTGCGTTTTTAGACAACTATACATTAGAAACCAGGATGACATATGAACAGTGTAACTTGGTAGCCTTGGATGCTCAAGGATAAGACACCTTGGGTAAATCAGGCAAAAATTCTCAACCACAGGACAGGACAAGCTGGCCCAAAGGTTCCTTCGCTAAAGGGTAAAAGGAAGCTGTAATTTTACTCCATCTGGAAAGCTACCTAATCACCAACATCAGGAAAAAGGCAATATTCTGATACTGTGATTTCAATCAGACCAGATTCTTCCAAAAATATAAATATTAAAGTCACCCATTCACAGTATAATTTGTACCAAAGTGCAAAGTGGGGTTCATATGTGTACAAAGAACAAAATCAACCAGAACTGAGTTGCCAGGGCAAAATTACAACAGAAACTTAAAGTAATATATTGTCCCATCCACCTGCCAAAACATTAGTTCAAAGACATTCCTCCTTTAAATAGTTTGACTAATTATAAAAATAATCATTCAATAAATATTTGCTGAGCACTATTTTAGGTGCCACAAACACTGCAGTGAGAAAAACAAAGTCGAATTTGGTGCCACAAACACTGCAGTGAGAAAAACAAAGTCCAATTTCACCAGTCTTTTCTTTCTGTGCAAATACATTTATCTCATTAAGATAAGACCAAATATGGAAAATTGCACCCAGATGGTTTCACTTTTAACGTTGGAGTTTCTCCCATAAAATCAAAGTTCTTTGAAAACACCGTTCTTACTGGCTACATAATATTCTAACATGGAAATAGGATCACGATTTACTGAAAGACACTCCCAATGCTTACCAGGAGATAAAAACACAAAGAAGAGACATCATCAAACAGAACATTAGGCCTAGATTCAGGACCTTAAGGAAAAAGAAGGAAAAAAGGAAAATACAATCTTACCAATCTCAGAGGCCCCACTGTTTTCCTCCACAGGGATGAATATTCACGTCCACACCACCAGCCACACAAAGCTCTAATTTGTGCATCTCCCTTTATAAGCCCCACTCCGTCTTTGATCGAAGAGAACATTGTCTACACAGAACAATACGTTTTCATTTCAATTTCCCTTCTTTTCAGGAAAGGAAATGTTTGCACTTCAAAGGGTTTCTTTGAAGAGTAGTCCTTCAGCCCTGGCCCGTCCAGGTTGGGCATTACGTGGGCTCAGCGGGGTGTGTGGAGTCTGGGCGGCTGCCCACCGAAGTCACTCTCAAGGCCAGCTCCTTCAAGGAGAGGGTCTGGGGCCGGAGTAGAAAAAATAAACACATGGAAAATGGAAAAATACTCAAGGCTTTTGATCATGACCTTCAGAGGCCCATTTTCACACATAACGTAGATTTACAGCTCAGGGAAACTGAGGTACAAATGATGGGGAGCTGAAGACAATGACGTAGAAGCTTCTAAGAACAAAATCCTTCCAGAAACCAGATTGGCTTAGCAAAGACCCATTCTGGGCCAGGAAACGGGATACCTATTCTCAGTTACAGCTGTTATGGCCAAAGGACCACCTAAGCAGACAAAGCCGAGAAGCGAGATCCAAACTTCACTACCTGCACCAATGTTAAAACCTTTCCCTAGGAACTTTTGAGAAGCAGTCATTAGCAAACAGCAAACCTCACACGGCAGAATTTCACATTTTATTTCTTCTGTAACCCACTGGTAGGAGCCAAGAGGCTCATAAAAGGCAAGTCTAACAACCGCCCGAAGCAGCCAAGAGGTCACTGACTCGGGGCCAGTGCTGTTTCTCTCACTCACGCTCCAAGGCCCCAGCCTTAACCTCTGCCAAGTCTAGGAAGCAAGAGGTATAAACCAGGCAAGAGTGGGCCTGCAACATTTCAAGTCTCCAACAAGTTCTGGATATTTAGTAACGATCTCCACCCTTCCGCACCACAAAGGCACCACCAAGGCTGGTTAAGTCCGCCTGCCTGGTGGGCACCTCCCCAAGGGGTGGGCAGGAGCATGGAAGACAGTCAGCTCCAGACAGGGGCCGGCTCCTCCCACAGCCCCAGGACTCGGCTTCAGGGCTCCTGCCTGGTGTGGGTGGTGGAGGGACCACAGGTCTGCATGGCCAAGTCACCAGAGCGGAAGGAGCTGAGAAAGTCTTGCTACCACCTTTCTGCAAGCCGTTTACCTGGTCGATCACTCAGCCTCTGAGCTGGAATTACGAATGATTTTTATTTTTTCCTTCTTTTACTTTTCTGTAGTTTCCAAAATTTTCACAATAAGCATTCTAACTTTTAGAAACACTTTTTCTTAAAAAGGCTCATGAGGTAGAAAATTAGACTACAGCCCTTTAGAAAGAACCCCCACACTGCACAACTCCTTCCCAAAAATACATTTAGCTATAAAGGAGGCTATGTGGACGACTGAAGGTTGAACACGGACTGTGGGCTAAATCACACGGTTGTGTCAATGTTCAATTTCCTGACTTTGCTGTCTTACCGTGGTTACGTGAGAGAAGGTCCTAGTTCTTAGGAAATATACACTGAAGTATACAGAGCAAATAAAACAGCGTGATGTCTTCAGCTTACTCTCAAATGGTTCAGGAAAAATGCCTGTGTCTGTGTGCATGTGTGAGTTTGTATGTGGGTGGAGAGAGAATAGAAGGGGGCAAAACATAAACCACTTGTGCATCTGAGAAGAGGGTACTCAGGAGTTCCTTACCCTCCTGCAACTTTTCTTTTTCTTTCTTTTTTTTTTTTTTGAGACAGTGTCTCACTCTGTCACCCAGGCTGGAGTGCAGTGGCCAACCTCTGCCTCCTGGGTTCAGGTGATTCTTGTGTCTCAGCCTCCCAAGTAGCTGTGCCTACCTACTCCTGAGTAGCTGTGCGCCACCAACGCCTGGCTAACTTTTGTATTTTTAGTAGACACAGGTTTCACCATGTTGGCCAGGCTGGTCTCAAACTCTGGCCTCAAGCGATCTGTTTGTCTCAGCCACCCAAAGGGCTGGGATCACAGGTATGAGCCACGGCGCCCGGCCTCTGCAACTTGTAAGTTTGAAATGTTATCCAAAAACTGGTGAAAGAGAAAAGGGGAAAAGGAGAAGGGCAAAAAGGGGTAGGGAACAGTTTTCCTAACTCTGTCATGCAGTCCTTCCCAGGGGGCCTTCATGGGGTCTCAGGACGTGCACCCTAATGCCCCCAGCTCCTGGACCGGGCCTCGTCTCAAGGGAGAGCAGGAGGTGTCCCTGGCCCTATGGAAAAGCTGCAAGCCCAGAAGACACTCCCGAGTCACTCTGGGGAAGATAGGCCCTTGCTGCAGGCCCTCGTGTGGACCGCTCCTGCCCCAGGCTCTCTGAGAGTGTTAAAGAAGCATCCTCTAAGGAAAGGGGTCACCTACGCAAGATACTGTTAAAATCAGCAAAGCCAAGCCAAGGGCAGGACGACAGTGGCCACTGGCCTTAAGAAGGACGGAATACGGAAAAGGAAGCCGACTGTCCCCTATGAACAGTTTCTGGTTCCCACAAGACCCCCTGTGAAGGGGTCTCCCCAGGTGGAGATGGTGGTGGGGTGTGGACATGGCTGGATGGTGATAAACAAGGCTCTCCTGTGGTCTGAGCAAGAGACATTACATCCAGCAAAAGGCTGGTGATGTAAATGCCAAACTACTGACCCAGAAAAAATGCAGCCCAGCCTCTGTCACACACACCAGCTCCTGACATTGGCCACATCCCAGCGCAGCTGCCCCAGGGACCCCAGGGCTCCAGCTGTGCCAGGTGCCGGGACTTGGAGGGGAAAGACCTGCATTCAGAGACAGCAGAGGTAAATCAGGGCAAAGAGAGGGGAAGCCAGGTGCCAACCAGCGTTGGGGTGGGTGGCCGGAGCCAGAACCACCTGGACTCAGCCAGAAACAAGGGCACAGGCAGATGGGCTTCAGATCTGCCTGCCTCCCACTCAGGGTGCACAGGCCAGGCCAGGCCCATCCCAAGACAGGCTGGAGCCCAGGTACAGGCAGACATCTGGGTTCCGATCTTCACTCTGCCACTGACTGCCTACCTGTGAGCCGTGGGCCACCTGCCTCCCTCTCCCCATCAGTCAAAGCAGAAGGGCTGACCTCATTGGGTGGTTGGGAGGATTCAAAGGAAACAGATAAAGCACAGAGTACATGGTGAGCACTATGTAAGTGCTTGCAATGATTGATCTTACCTAGCCCTGGAGCCCCTCCCTTCCTTCCTACTTGGCCTAACAGACTTTGGCTAATGGCACTTGGTAGGCAGACGACGTAGAGAAGGACACTTCCAAGCTGACCGTACCAGACCAACTCCAGCCACTTTATGGGCAGGCTGGTCCCCTGCCTTCTCACTGCTGCCCCCAGGTGGGTGTCGCCCACCACCCCGCCCTGTATGGCAGCATCCATCCTATCCTACCGACCCAAGCATGGGATAAGTGAGGTGGGAAACACAGGGCCCAGAGTTTCAGCTTTGCTTTTTCCAAAAAACCAAAGGGCTTCAGAGTAATTTGAACAAAATGTTTGGAAACAGGAATGACTATAGCTAGGGCAGTCACTTCCATCCTGCCCCCTACCAAACACACACACACACACACACACACACACACACACACACGTACAGAGCAAACACTAAGAAAGGGGCTGTGAGCTCTGTTTCCCGTGGGTCCAAGGAGTCACCAAGCCCAAGGTGTACAGGTCTGTGACCTAAGCAAACCTGCACCCCGTGCCCAGGGAGGCACCGGGATCCCAAAGAGGGATGGCTTCAAGTCCATCTGGCAGTCAGAGCCAAAAGAGCCCAGAGACTACTGTCCTTCCCTCAGACCTAGGACCAGATGGGATGGTGAACCTGTCAGCAGATGCCTCAGAGGCCCACAGGCCTCCTCCAGCACACCAGGACTATGTCTGACCTTTCCAATTCAGACACAAGCCCAAGGAAAGAGCACAACATTTTAACGTCTTGGTAAAATAAGAGAGTGGAATTAAATTGTTATAAAAGTTATTTTTCTCGGGGACAGGTTCAGTGACTTACGGCCATAAACCTAGCATTTTAGGGAGGCGAGGTGGGCGGATCACTTGAAGTCAGGAGTTTGAGACCAGCCTGGGCAACATAATGAGATCCCTTCTCTACCAAAAAATAAAAATTAAAAATGAGCCAGGCATGGGGTTGCACACCTGTGGTTCCAGCTATTCAGAAGGCTGAGGTGGAAGGATCGCTTGAGCCCAGGAGGTGGGGGCTGCAACAAGCTGTGATTGCACCACTGCACTCCAGCCTGGGTGACAGAGCACAACCCTACCTCAGGAAAAATAATTATTTTTCTCCTGCACCTAAATCAAGGAACAGAGCCTTCTTTCCAGTATAATAGTTAACATTTACATTCAAGATTTAGTGTGTGCCAAAGGCTGTGTTAAATCCATAGCATGGATTATCTCATTTAAATCCTCTCAGTCCTATAAGATAGGCACTAGAAGCCAATTACTATGCAAACAATATGAAAAAGAATTTAAATGTGGCTCGGAGAAATATCTCAGAAAAGCCACTTATCCCGTAAGTGGAACCCACTCTGGGGCTCTGCACTTTCTGCCAGTAGGGGTCATGACGTCTCCTTTGACCTCACAATGCAGAGGCCCCCACAACCTCAAGTTGCAGAGGCCCCACACCAAGCAGAGGCCACTCCCAGAGTCACCACTGCTAGATGGTCTCTAGGACGCACAACTCACTGTGCAGGAGGACACAGGAGTGTAGGATCCACCTTTAAAGAAACAGGAAAGCAGCTGGCTGTCCTCATGGCCAAGAACCTGATCTGAACAAATATTCTGAAGAAAGCACTGCAGTAGGAACATGGAAAGCTAGGAAGCAAAACTGCTATGCCCTTGTACCCCCAGAAAAGGGAGGGGCAAGGAGACAATCAGAAAAAAATGGGAAGACAATGTAGACAGACGTAGTCCTACTAGGGTAAGGGACATTCTCTCCCACCCCCAGACCAACCCCTAGGTTTCCTTGCACTTGATTTTTTTGTTGCCATGGTCAGAATTGCAGGCTGCTAACAAAAGGACTGATCTCAAGAGAGAAATCTAAATGCATGGACTTGGTACCTTTATTCTTTCAAAGAACAACATGGACTCCATACTTTCTAATTTTACTACTGTAAGGCTGAGAGGGACAGGCTCTCCCAATACACAGACGGAGCCACTGTGTAAGGTTCAGGAAGTCTAAATTACTTCATAGAGAAGCAAAGCCAGGATTCCAGAAGCCAGGAGCAGTGCTGTTCCCAGCATCGGTCCTAACTCCCCTTGGTTCCTCAAAGCAGCATGCTTCCTTTCGGGGCAGATAATCACCCCATTCCGCACTGAAGCTGTGAAGCCTCTTCCCTCAGTCACACGGCTCTGACTCCAGTTACCCAGTGTGTTCAACAAAAGGAATACCTGCCAGTCCCCACCATTCCTGACAATAGTCAGAGGGAAAGAGCCGCTGGGTGTGGCAGGAGGGGCAAACCGCACACAGATCAGAATCTAGTCCAAAGTCCAGAAATGTCTTTTCCGCACCCTGTGTTCCTAAGATGACCAAATCCTGACCAGTGGGCCAAGCAGCCAGCATCCCCTGGGTCTGCCAGCACTGCACATCTGAACGAATGCCTTGGGAGAGAAATGAACACGGCTAGCAAGCCACGAAATCACTTTCCCAATTTGCAGCCCATCGTTCCGGCAATTCCATTTGGCAAATCCACTAAACCTGGCTTGACAGATCATGACCCACACTGAACCACAGGGGTGGTTATTTTCAAGGCTGCACTGTAGCTGGGTATGGGGGTGGGGGAGGAGGCCGATTATCGAGAAACAGAGAGGCCACTAAAGTTTATCACAAGGCAGATAATCTGCCACAAATGAAGCTACTACTCTGTTCCCTCACTGGAGGAGAGGTCTAAACCCTGGGGTGGATAGCAGGTTGGCCAGGGAACTGATATACCCTCACCTGAGGCCTGGGAAACACGAGGAGAGGCAGATGTCCTGAAGATCCAGGAACACCCCAGGACCTTTGAACTCCATATTTAGAGGGTCCCCATCCCACAGGACAAGCCCAGCGCTGGGCGGCCCACCGGAGGGCAGCAGGGGAGCAAAGGGAGGCCATGGGCAACAAGGAGACAGACTGAAGAGACCCCCAGGTTTGGTGGGAGGAGTCAATAAAGCTGGCTGTAACACACAGGCAGGCACCTGAGAGGGGCCCCAGGAGGATAAGTCTTCCAGCCTGACCCTGGGGATGAGAGTTCTAAAAAGCTCAGTTGTGGCTTTCAAAAAGTGCCTCTTTCATCCAACACGTTCTTTGCTCAGCCTTCCCCTCTCATTAATACGGCACCCCCGCAGTGCTTGCAGTTGTGCTTGACCCTTTCTTACCCTCACATGAATCCACTCGCCAACCCCATTGGGTCTGCCTTTAAAATCTATCTGGGTCTGCAGGGAGCAACTATACAGAAAAACACCAGCATCCCATCGGAAGGTCTCGCTTGGAGTGAGGAGAGCCAGGTGGAGTGACAGGCATCTCTGAGATGCCTCTAGGAGAGAGAACCCCGAGACCCAAATATCTCCACAGTCAGAGGGAAGAAATATTTCTCTCCATAACAAGGATGCACTTACTCACATTTCAGATTTGTCCCTAGGATTAAGAGCAATCACTCCAAATACATGGTTGATAATGAGAAAGGAGTAATTTAATTGGACATAATTCTGTGCCCAACATAATTACCTATTTGTAAGGACTACGGTTAAAAGAAACTACAGACTAGAAT